AAAGAGTTGGACATGGCTTAACGACTAAACAACAACAATGCAAATATTATTCTAGTGTGTATATATTTCTAATACATTTATATGACTATCTTGTTTTTTTTTAACCTACTGTATTTTGTAGAAACGAGTCCCATATTTCGTGATATTTGTCCATACAAAGTGTACGTCTGTAGGCAATCCGCTCGTAAGTCGCAAGTGCAGTCAGGTCTTCAATTCACATCTTTGTGTGTGAAGATGGAGACTGTGGAGGCCACCGCAAGGCCAAAGGGATGGGCCTTTGAGCATGTGGTCACAAGCACCATCTTGACTTTTGCAAGCCCTCCGATGGCTCACCTGCTAGACTTCCTAGAGAGCTTCTGTAACTGAGGGTGGATTTGAACCTGGGTCTCCTGTGGCCAGTCCAACACTTTAAACCCTATATCACACCAGCGACCAGGTTAACTTTCCCTGTCCTGCTACTACCATCAAAAGGTGATTGTATCTTTCTTTTTTAATTGTCGACTTATATTCTACCTTTCCTCCATTTTTTCCATGTCTACCTTTTCTCCCTGTGGGTTGGGAGGGAGGGACTGGCCCCAAGTCATCTCAGGAGCTTCTGTGGCTGAGAGGGGACTAGGACTTGGGTCTCCCTGGTCCAGCACCTTCCCCACTACAAATCCTGGGTCTTGGGCTCAGAGGGAAGGACCGGCTCAGAGTCTTCCAAGAAACTCCTGTGGATGCAGATGGACTAGAACCCGGACCTCCCTGCTCCTAGTCCAGCACTTGCCCCATTATACCACATTGGCCCTTGCGCTGGCCCAAGAGGGAGGGACTGGCCCACTCATCCACTGAACTTCTGTGGCTGAGAGGGGATTAGAATCTGGGTCTCCCTCTTCCTAGTCCAACACCTTCACCGCTACACCACTCTTGCTCTTGGGTTGAGAGAGAGGCACTGGCCCAAAGTCATCTCGGGAGTTTTTATGGCTGAGGAGGACTAGAACCCAGATCTCCCTGGTCCCAGTCCAGCACCTGCCCCACTACCCTACTCTCTCTCTTGGGTTGAGAGAAAGGGATAGACTCAAAGTCACCTTGGGAGCTTTCATGGCTGAAGATAGACTAGAACCAGGATCTCCCTAGTCTAGCACCTCCCCCACTAGACAATCCCGGCTCTTTCAAATGTAATGACATGACAGTATTGCTGGAGACCCCCTATGGACACCTCTTTTGGTGTCCCTCAGGTTCTGCCTTGCTTGATTTTTTGTGATATTTTAAAAAAATCTTGCAAATAATAAAAAAAGAAAGCTTCACGTTCTGGCATTGCCTCTAATTCTAAGAAGGCTCTAAGAGAACCCGTATGCTTTTTTACGAGAATAAACATGGAACCGACTGTTTTCCAGTGCTTTGACTGGAAGGGTGGCCATGTCACCTGGAAAAAACTAAAGGCAAAGAAAACCGTGATAGCAGAAAGCATCTTGGGTAAAGTTGAAGGGACTGGTGAGGAGCACAAAGATAAACCGGTGCTTTGCAACTGATGATGTTCCCCATAGCAGCTCTTTTGCAAATGGTAGACATTATTATGGTGGGTTGCACAGTCAGCCAGATGTTTAGACTGGATTTGGCGTTTTTATCCACCTATCGAGTCCTTCCCAAGGACCTGGGACAGGCAGATGTTGTTGTTGGATGGTGTTAAAGGTATTGTCTCAGGATGGAAGCTGTTCCAAGTAAAGCTGCCTTTCGCAATGGACTGATGGTGGTTTTGTCAATGCTGAGGGTCTTCCAGGGGTGCTCCAGATGTTTTGGGATTGCACCCAAGGCGACTATTACTATTGGGACTATCTTTGCTTTCTTTTGCTACAGTCGTTCTACTTCTATTCGCAGGTCTTTGTATTTTGTGATTTTCTCCAGTTCTTTCTCTTCTCTTCTGCGGTCTCCAGACATTGCAATGTCCACTATCCAGGCTTTTTGGTCTTTCTTATCAACAGTTGTTAAGTCTGGGGTGTTGTGTGGCAGGGGCTTGTCTGTTTGAATTCTAACGTCCCAGAGCACTTTAGCTTCTTCATTTTCTATGACTTTGTCTGTTTTGTGATCCCCCCAGTTCTTGCTTGCAGACAAATAGTATTTCTTGCAGATCTTCCAATGCACCATTATGGCTACATTGTCACGCCATTGTTTATAGTCGGTCGGTGCGATCTTGGTGCCTTGGTGGCATTATTATTATTGTTGCTGTTATTCACAATAAGTGCTCACTAGCCTGAAAAGAGGCTATCTCTATATTGTTCTTAGGATACACTATTTGGATAATATTATCAATAAGAAGAATATGAAGATGGAAGCATGCTTTCTGTTTAAAGTCATTGGGAAAAAATAAAGTCTAGGCTACAATTTCAGTGGAAAAATCCCAACACAAATGGCTCCAATCCGAAGAGGTCCTTTTGGTAGCAGATATGGGGTGCTGTTTCCTTCAGCCTCCATTTTATCCCTTGAGAAATGGGTGAAAGGGGTAGCTTGGCAGTCATGGGGGCAGAAAGATGGAGGGATTCCTCTTGATCTTCTGGGAAGGAAGCTGGCGAAAGCATCCATGACTTTGGCACTGCCATCCCCAACCTTGATCTTCTCATCCTTCCTCAAATATTTGTTCAAGAGAAGTTAATAACGTTTTAAGAGGTTTGGCAGAACGTCTTCTCAGGTCAGATTTTTCCCCAGGATAAAAGGACAATTAAGCAGATGAAGAAGGGGCAGTGTTGACCTCTGCAGGTAGTAGGCTGGGATTCCCGTTTTTGTTAAAGAAAGCAAAACCAGAATTTCTCGTGTGTTGAGTTTCTCCCTGGCAAAATTCCCACTGAGTCACCTCCTGTATGTGCAGAGGGAGCTGACAAGGCTCCAGAATTTCTTCTGGAGATGTTTTTGAGCTGACCTGGTGGTTGGAGAAGAGAGAGAGAAGGAGACTTCTGGTTTCATTTCGGGTAACATACCTTTCCATAGACTGCAGACTTAGGTGGAAATGGGGGAAGCCAGGGAGGCTGCAGAGGGTTGCAGAAGATTGCAGAAAGGACAGGACATTCACTTGGACCTTATCACTATTAATGCAAGAATGCCACACACCTCCATGAGAATTTCTTCATCTCTTTTGAAAGAACATTTGAAAAGCAATTCTCTTTTATCCAGTTAGAAGAGGACGGATGGGGGAAAAATGGAGGAGCAATTTTCTGCTGGACACTACCCCCCCGATCAGCAAATCTACTCTCAGACAAATTCCTGTCACCCCTGTCTTCTGATTCCAGATGTGTTTCTGGGGGTGCTAATTTAGAAACAATAGTCCTACATCCTTCAGGTCCTTTTTTAATGAAGTATCAAAGAACTGCTTGTAAGTTGCCAGGTTAGATAGTCCTACCAAGTCCTGTCTTAGATTCTGGAGGCTGGGTTTTGAACAGTAAATCCTGTGGTTGGTAAGAAATCCGGAAAGCATTCTTCTTCACTGTAGTTTCCTGTTTGTTTTGGAATTTGCATTTAATTCTGTTTATATAGAGAAGTGAAAGGACAGTACATACGTACCTATGAATCTGAGTACTGAACTGTCAGAGGGCAATAGGAACAGAAATGAAACTGGAATGATCTCGGCTGAAACCTGTGATGTGCCATGTATCGACGGGGCTTCTCACTGGAAATGCTTAACAGCTAAAGACAGGAAATAGCCACGATAGAAGGTTTTAACTTCAATGGCCTACATTTATCAAGAATATTTATATTTATACAGACACATATGCATACATGTACGTTATTATGTAGTTTTAGAGTAAGAGATTATTTTATATTTCATTTATATCTGGTGTAGAAGAGGTCGGAAGTCATTCTTGTTGTATTTCTGTTTTCCTTCTTCCCCTTTTCTATTTTCTAGCACTTTTGCTCTCTTTCTTTCTGTTCTGTTTCTTGATCATTAGTTTGGGTTCGTTTTTTATCTTTCTGCTTTTTAAACTTTAATAAAGCTATTATAAAAAAAAAGAATACACACACACAGTGTATATAAATATTAAAAAGCAACCCCGGAGAATAAGATTGTTGTAATCCATGCTCTTCAAAGTTGGAGTGAAGCCAGTAAATGTCATTAAAGAGCTATTGTAAGCCTCTCTTGCATTTGTTTTAACATTGTACTTAAAGAAAGATTTGGGGTGATGACATAATAAAGGTGATAGATTGATTGGTTGATTTACTTAACTCCCTGCAAAACAAAGCCATCTTCCGTGCAAAGGAAAAGCATCTTTTGCTTCTCCATTTTAATGCCTGGCTGGGCTGAACATTTGCTGTTTCTCCACCGTTTTCCACTGGCCTGTAATGATTTGGCCCAGAATTAAAAAAGCAAAACATTGCAGCTGTTGATCACCTCAAATTGGCACAAAGAGAACCTTGATCATTCAATGCGGCAATTGGATTCATTAAATCAGATCAAAGAGTCGTATTTGATCAGGATGACAAAAGGCTGCTGCCCTGTAGACCGAAGAATGGCTTTCTGAATCAGATCAGAAAATGGGACCAACTTAACCCACTTTGGGAATTAGATTCCCCCTTCCCAATCATTCTGAAAGGTGGACTCATTTAAATCAAATGAATCCAATGTTCTAAATCAAGCTGATTCGACAAATTGGATCAGACCCAGTTTGCACACCCACAAGAACAGTGTGTCAAAGCCATCACTCCTGGTGCTCCAACTCTGCTCAATTTTGTGCAAGGATGGTGACGTTTTAACCTCTAAGGCAGTGCTTCTCAACCTCAGCAACTTTAAGATGTGTGGACTTCAACTCCCAGAATTCTCCAGCCAGCC